AGAGAGAGAGAGAGAGAGAGAGAGACAGAGACAGACAGAGAGAGAGAGGGAGAGAGAGAGAGAGGGGTGTTTATCTAAGTTATTCTATTACCAATAACGACTCAAGGGTCAGATGTTAGGGTGAAAACTTGATGGATCAAAAAAGCAGCAGAGGAGGAACCAGCTGATCTTCTCTCCATCCTTCCTGTGCCTCTCTATCATATCCTGGGTCCTCCAAAATCTCTATTGTCAATTCTTGTCAACTAGATGCTGGCTCTGCCCCCCCCATCCAAGTTTAACTTTATTAACACAGTCTTGGAGTGTCACAGTGCAATCAAATATCCCAAAACATGTGTGTGTGTGTGTGTGTGTGTGTGTGTGTGTGTGTGTGCGCGCGCGCGCGCGCGTGCGTGCGCGCACGCGCACACACATGCTACAGTGCATATATGATAGTCAGAGTCAGAGGACAATCTCATGAAATCAGCTCTCTCACTCCATCTCCTTGTGAGTTCCAAGGATCAAACTCAGGTCTCCAGGCTTGTATAGCAAGCATCTCTACCCAATGAGCCATGGCGATAGCCCAAGCTCACAGGATTCTTGAGCCCCTTGCAGGACCTGAGGTTGGCCAGGCTCATCAGAAGCCAGTTAGTTCTGCTTGTTGTGCCACCAAGCTCAGGCTTTTCCTAAAGCAGAGACAGTGGGGCAGTGCCAATGGTTCTGCCCTGTATCTTGAAGCACCATGACGGATGAACCAGCAGGGGTGAGCCGGGACCACCTGAAAACTTCAGAAACTAGATGAGGACCTAGGTGTCTGTAATGGGAAGCAACTAGGCACAAAGGGTAACAAAGCCAGATTCAGGAGATGGTATCGGCACTATGTGGAGAACCAGTTCCAACGGTGGCGTAGAAAGCAACACAGGACCTCCCCTCCCCGCAATCTCTCACAAAAGGAACTGTGCCAACGGAGCAGGCTTCAGAAAGAACCAGAGGCTGGCTGCTGGGTGCAGCTCTCTAGCTGTAAGGCCAAGGGTAGCTCAAACTCAGTTCTGTGAATCTGGGTAGCCTCGTTTTAAAGTCAGTCAAATGTCTGCCTTAGAGACTTGTTTTCATTGCAGTAAAAGGCTTTCTATACCACAAACTACCACACGGGCTGGCCCACAAGAGGTTCTCAGTTACAGGCAGCCCTAAAAGGCGAGCAAATTGTGTGTGGCAGAAATATCTCTACAGCAGATATGCCACTGAGGCGTGTAACTGGCCTGAAAAGAATGAAGATATTCTAAAGGAACAGCCCTCACTTTGACTATCAGACTATTAAAACAATGGACCCTGAGAAACTGGAATCTCCCCAGGACTCTCATGCTGGGAGGAGAGAAAGCATAAAGCCTGGGTCAGCCAGAAGGGAAGTTTTCTCAGGGAAAGAGATTTGCACCTTGTCAGCCCACCTGGCAGGAGGGTGGAGCCAGAACAGTGATGGGTAGACAGCAGCTGGACAGGACTGCTCAGCCATACGTAATTCTGGCCCTTTATCTAAACCTCCACCTCACTTCAAGACCTTGAAAATGGACGTGGAGGGGTCCCTAGGTCTCTCTTGTCCCTCTCCCCAGTGTTGGAAGAGATCTCCTTTTCTGCTAGCAATGTGGGTATTTTAATTGACTTATGGAGGACAGGTGGTTGAACCTGGCTTGCTGGGGCACAGGGTGTGGCCCGAAGTCTGGTAACAGTAGGGCTTTGAAGGAAGTTTCTGGACTCACGGGAGGATGTCTGTGATTCCACTGATCTCACTTGTCCGGTGCCCTCTCTTTATCAGGCCATGACATGGACTGCGCCACCAGTCTATACCCTTGCTGGCCGTGGAATAAGGAGGACAATTCACCAGGACTCACCGAAAGGTGGCTCATTTCAACTACAAGTAAACGTTAATATGTGCAAAGCCCCCAACGGCCAAGGCCAGACTGATAACTGCTTGGGGTTTTCCACTTCCTGTGTTGTGTGTGTACAACCTCCTAACCATGACTGTGAAGCCAGTCAAGAGTGGCCTCGAAGGTACAAGCATTGGAACCTCGTAGGCCTTCCAGGGAAGCCATCAACATGTGTGCGTCAACACTTCTAAATTCAGTGCCCCTACACTTTCCATAATCATAGACTACCTCAAACCACTGGCACACGAACTTAAGAAGGGAAAGAAGAAAGCTTGCATCCCGCCATGGAAGCGCGAAGTCCTGGCTGTCCCTGTCACACAGTAAACTCGGTTAATAGCGCCTCTGATGCTTCATTCTGAAGAGGTAATTCACTTCGGTCTTGTCAATATAGAACAAAAACTTATATGGATTCCTTTCTCCGGTGCTGAGAGTTGAAACCTAATGCCTTTGTGCATGCCAGACAGGTGTTCTGCCATAGCACATCCCCAGCTCAGGAGCTTTTTCTTTCTTCACCAATTAAGACTCTGACCTCCAAAGGTGAGCAACTAACGTCTGAGAATGGCAGAGTGGGGTTGTTTGGGGTATGGAAAAGAGCTGCTGATAGACAGACTTGCTCAAGACATTCCTCTGAGAACAGCCTGAGCCCCAGCCTACTTGTAAACACAGCGTCTGGGAATATTCCGGAGGCAAAATACGGAGGTGCCATCGCACGTTTCCAAAGGAAATTGCAGCGTCTGGCCTTTTCCCACACAAAGCATCCTTGCCTCTGAAACCACAATGCCCATCTCCTAAGAATATAAGATATATTACTTACTCCCAATTCGAGTAGAAGACTGCTCCTGGGAGACTGTGCCCAAAGGTTAAATTACAGTCTCTACTAACCTCTGACACATCTGAGAATGTTCTAATAGACCCGCCCACTCTCACTTCCACCGTCCTTCCTTGCTTGCTTCTAAAGCAGAAAGAGGTCATTCCAGCCAGCTGTCACGTCTCTAATCTCACAATGAACTCACTTACAGTGGAAACAAACGACCCGAATAGGGTGCCACAGATGCTGACAACAGGTACACTGGGGAAAACCCCTGCCACGTGTGCGGCCCTTTATTCAGAGGTTCCTGGCCGCGCGCTCGCCTCTCCTTGACGCGCACGCACCAACACACCAGAGCACTAACACATACAGCTGGGGACCGAGTTTCCTCTCCCGGAACAGCAACCCATCTTCAGATCTCTGCATCTGATCCACCTGGTTCCTATACCTGGAACCCAAGCCTCAGCACTCCGCACGTGGGGATGCGCTTCCAGGTGGTGCCAGGAGCGAAGCGTGGAGGTGGGGAAGGCTGCGGACTGGGAATGGGAAAGCTGGAAGTAACATGCATAGGTTTGGAATCCCTGGGGTGCACGCTTCTGCAATTGGAGAGGGCGCGAAGCGAAGACCCAGGCTAAGGAGGAGAGGGCTGGGGGAGGGGTCGCTCACCCAGCGTTTTGACAGCGATCTGCCTGGTGAGCGGCGGCGGCAGGTTGATGCACACCAAGTCTACATCCTGGTGCAGCAGCACCTCGTCGATGCGGCTAGTGTAGAAAGGAACACTCATCTCCTTGGCCAGCTCCTCGGCTTCTTCCTGCGTGCGGCCCCACAGCGCCTTCACCGCGAAGCCCTCATCTTTCAGCAGCGGGATGATGACTCGGGCCGTGAGGCTGGTACCGAACACGCCCACCCCGGGAAGCATGGCTGCTCAGGTCCGCCCGGCTCTGCTTCTGCCGGGATCTCCAGTCGAACACCCGCGCGCACGCCTCTCCTGCCGGTCCCGCAGTCCCCGACTCCTGCAGCCGATCTCGCTGTGCAGCGCCAGGCGCCGAGCCCCGGGCCAGGCGCCCGCGTGCGGCGGCGTGACAGCGCACCGAACCACAGACCCTGTAGGCTCCGGGAGCCTCAGCGCCGTGACCGCTGCAGTGCCCGCCACCCGAGTAGCGTGTCCTTCCCGGAGACAGCGGCGGGGACTCCGCCAAGACGCACGAGGCCCCGAAGTCCCGTGGAGCCCGGGCTCAGGCAGCGGTCCCGCTGTAGCGCCGGCCGGCTCCGTGCGCCCCGCCGAGGCCGCCCCATGGCTGGCTCATCCCCGCAGAATCTCACTCCCGGCTCGCGCTCCCGCTTCGCCACCCTCTCTGGGCTGCGGATCTCCTTTTTCCGCGGTCCTTGGTGCCGAATGAAATAACCCGGAGGCCGACTAAGAATGCGGCTCGCGGTGTGCCAGGCGCCGATCGCGAGCTGCAGCACCGCAGCAGCGGCCACCACCCGGCGCCAGGCTCCTCATTCTGCTGCCATATTCACTCGCTCGCAGCGCGCCTTGGGCGGCCTCGGCCCCGCTCGGGCTCGGGCTCCGGGATCCCGCGGGTACTAGGGCGGAGTTGGCGACTTTGACTGTCAGCGGCCGGGGTTCCTGCACCGCCCTTGCGGTAGCGCCGCGCGCCATTGGCCGGCGAGCGTCGCCCCCGCCCCTGTCTCCGCCGCCCGAGGCTCTCGATGCGCGCAGCGCCTGGCCCCTGGAACCCGGCTTGACTCCTCCCCGGCCCCGCCTGGCTAGCTCGCTGCCCCCGGGTGGCTTCCCTTTCTCTGCGCTCTCCGCCTCCGCCGCCGCCGCCTCCTCCTTGTTGCGCTCCAAGCTCCGCCCAAGCAAGCAAATAAATATATCAAAGCGGGGCGCGCCCTTAGTGGACTAGGACCAGATCCCTTGGAAAAGATTGACGCACGTAGGGACCCCGAAGCACCCTCAGCGTGGATCACTGCTCCTCTCCCGAGTATTTTTTCTATGCGGGCACTGTTCTGGGGAAGCTTTCTAGGCACTTAACCCTGGGATTGTTGGAAACCCATTTCATTGATGAAGAAAATAAGCCTCGGGAAGGTTGAGGGACTTGCTCAAGGTTACACACATAAACAACAGTCCTGGGATCGGAATGCAGACACCAGCGTCTCAGCCCTGAATCCCTGGAGTTCTGACTCCTAAGTGTGCCCAGTCCAACCCCCGCCCCCTCCAAGCCAACTCCATGGCTGCACAAGCTCAGCTGGTCAACTACTCCATGCTTGTGCCCCATGTGGCACGGGTGACCTCACTCAGAGCGGGGTCTTTGCAGTGACTGTGGATTCTGGTTTTTCCAGAGGCGTGTGTACTTCTGGTTGGCTTCCACTCCTGCCTCCTGCCCTCTGCTTCGGTTCCGGCCACTGAGCTTCCCAGTGGTTACTGCATCTGGGGCCTGAAGGGTGCTGGGGACCCTCAGACCAAGCTGCATGGAAAGCCCTAACGGTGGTGGTGACCAAGTGAGCCTCTGATTTCCCACCATATCCTCACCACTTACCACACGGCCTAACTAATAGGTAGTAGGCGCTCAAATAAATGAATGGATATTCACCACCTGTCACTTCGTTCCCAATTAGTGCTGGGAGGAAGGAGTCAGTGCTAAAGGGGAAGAGGACCTGCCCTCCAGCTCCGTGTTTCTGGAAAGATCAGGTTACTACTGTCATATTAACCCCTGGCCTTCAGCTCTCAGCTGAAGAGGCACGTGGTCTACTTCGACATAAGCGTGGAAAACATGACGCACTGGAGCGTTTAAAGCAACTTGTAACAAACGGCAGTGAGGCAGGGCTGGTGGAGAGAGTTATACACCAAAAAAAAAAAAAAAAAAAAAAAAAAAAAGCTTGTGTGTGGCAATGAGAGGAGGCAAAGTTGACCTCAGGACATTAGTAAAAAGGACAAAGTGCTCCCGGTCTGGCAACAGCCTGAGCAGAGTCGAGACAAAGAGCAGACAAGACCTGCTGAGGGCTGGCTGAGAAGTGTTATAAATGGGTGTGCCACCTCCTCTCTCAGAGCAAGAACGGTGGCAGGAACACCTACTGGACCGGTGTTGGCATCAGAGGGGTGTCAAGCTCACTCAGTGCCTGGTGTGTGCATCTTGGCCTGAAAGCCAGAGCTGGGAACTGACTCTTGGCTCTGTCGTTTACTAGCGTGGGTCCAGGGACAAAGACCTTCTCTATGTCCATCTTTCTCTGTGTCCGTCTGCAAAGGGAGGACAGCAGTTAACACTATGGAGGACCATGTAATTTGACATTCGTAAAGTCCTAAGAAGGATACTCTCCAGAAAGGCTCTATGTAATATATACGTCCTCTATTTTGATATTTATTTCTATTTATTACATATGTCCTATTTAAAAGTAAGTATTAGCCTGTGTGTATAACCTGTGTGGATTCTGTTATGATTTTGTTGTTGTTGGGGGGGGGGATTGTTGGTTGGTTGGTTTTGTTTTCTTGAAGGTTGTTATATGTACGTGTGGGGGTATATACCACTTCAGCACATGTACCCCCGGAGGTCAGAAGAGGGCATTGGAGCCTCTGGAGCTGGAGGTGACAGATGGTTGTGAGTCATCCTAGATGAGTATCAGGGACAGAACTCAAGTCCTCTGGAAGGACAGCGAGCACTTTCTGGTTTTTGTTTGTTTGTTTGTTTGTTTGTTCTGTTTTTCAAGACAGGGTTTCTCTGTGTAGCTTTGCGCCTTTCCTGGAACTCACTCTGTAGCCCAGGCTGGCCTCGAACTCAGAGATCCGCCTGGCTCTGCCTCCCGAGTGCTGGGATTAAAGACGTGCGCCACCACCGCCCGGCTAACAGCGAGCACTTTCATTTTCATTTGCTGAGCCATCTTTCCCACCCCTGGCTTGGTTTTTTTTTGTTTGTTTGTTTGTTTTGGGGTTTTTTGCTTTGTTTTGTTTTTTGAGATGGGGTCTCATGTAGTCCAGGCTGGCATCCAACTCACTCTCTGGGGGAGGATGACCTTGATTGAACTTCTCATCCTCCTGCCTCTGTTTCCCAAACCCGTACCACAGGTGTGTGCCCATATACCTTCTCAGTCCCCTGTGACATCAGTCCCCGTTATCCACAAAGGAGATAAGAGAGACTTTTGTTGATGTCTTTCAAAGAAGGCTAGGGCTGGCACCATGGCTCGGTGGCTAAGGGTGAATGCCACTAAGTCTGATGACTTAACATCAATCCCTGGACCTCCTCCCATTGTAGAAGGAGAGAACTGACCTCCATATGTGTGCTATGCCATGTGTGTGCGCACATATACACACAACAATTAATAAAATTTATTAATGAAAAAAAGAAATGTAGCCAGGCGTGGTGGTAGCACATACCTTTAATTCAAGCACTCAGGAGACAGACAAGGTGGATCTCTGAGTTTCAGGCTAGCCTGGTCTACCATGTGAGTTCCAGGACAGCCAGGGCTACACAAAGAAACCCTGTCTCGAAAAACCAAAATAATAATAATGATAACAATTAATAATAAATGAATAAAATTTGAAAGTGTTGTATAGAACTATCTCCTGAGCCTTACTTGCCTCCAAGAGTTTGGCTGGGCTTGCTAGAAAAAGATCAGCATGGCTGGGCTTGTTGACAGCTGATGTTTCCTCACAGAAAGAGTGGGTTCGGGTGGGAGGGGTACATAGGGCCCTCAGCTAAGTAGTCAGCCATCTCTGTTGGATATACTTCTACCCTAACTGAAAGCCTGGGGGTCTTTTGGGAAGGACTAGAGATCATGTAGGTGGGAACTAAATAGAAGAGAGACCTCTGTCTATACAGCCGTCAGGGAATCATCATCCATGCTGGCACAGGCTGTCCAATATGGCCACTTTAAGGTCGCCCACGCTTCTTCTGGGAACCCCTTGCCCATTGTTCTGTAAGTCAGCTTAATAAATTCATTGGTTCCCACCTTGGTTCTTCACTGGGACCTTAGGAGGAGGAGTAGACAGTGTTTTAATCTCCCCCAGGGAAGGAATTTTAGCAGCGAGAAGACCACTTCACCCTGCCCTGGTGGAGCATTCAAGTTGGGTTATCAGTAGCTGGACACTGTCCTTGCTGGTCTGCCTACTTTCGCTCCGTCGTCTCCGCTCAGCAGCCAGAGTGAGCTGAGTGATCTTTTCAAAGGTGAGTCACATCATGTCCCACCAAAGTCCACACCTACAATGGATTCCAGTCACACTTAAATTCCAAAGTCCTTAGGGTACCAGAACGGCCCTACCTAACCTAACTTGACCTCCCTCTGATCTTGCACAGCTTAGTACTTACTACTTCTGGCTACAGACTATTCCAGCAGGTTGACCTCCTTGCTGTGCACCCTGAAGGCTGAGCTTGCTCTTGTCTCGGGGCCTTTACACTGGCTACCCCCCCCCCCCCCCCCCCCCCCCCCCCCCCCACACACACACACACACACACACACACACACACACACACTCACGCAAGCTCACTCTACTCAGGTTTGTGCTCAGATGTCCCCACCTTAGATCAGGCCTGACCACCTCATCTGAAATGACATTCTTGTCCATCCTTTATCACTGTTTCCACTATGGTATCTGCTTATCATCCCTTGCCTAACAGATTACAGACTCACTGAGATCAGAAGTACGTATGTCTCCTTCACCTCTGAATACCCAGTACCTGCCGACATTCAATATACAAAGTGTGGCCATTGAGAAGTGACGAGGGTTTGATTAAGTCATCAGGATAGAGTCCCGTGATTGGATTCTGGAGAATTCATAGAAGGAGAGAAACCAGAGGAGACAGAAATATGTGTTGTCTGTCCCCTTTCCGATGATGCCTGGTACCACTCTTGGACACTGCTAGAAGGCCAGCATCCCTAGATGTGGCCCTCACCCTTGGACCACACCCTGAGCCAAGACAAACCCCTTTTCTTTATATTTACCTGTTAGGTATCATTGTGTTGTTTGCAAGAGAATGCTATTGCTGAGGATGTATAAAGTCTTTAGAACGAAGCCAAGCTTGTACACTGGAGTGATTTGGGCCCTGGAAATCCAGACCACCTCTCCCTCGGGTGCTAACATTAGGAGACTTTTAGTTTAGGATGTGAGTTGAGGCAACATGGGTCTGCAGGGGGTCATGGAGATGGGAGCAGAAAAGGCCTTTGAAGTTGAAAGTGGAAGCCTGTGGACCTGTGCGGAGGGAAAGGAGAGCTGGACCCGGGTTCCAGGAGGCATGCTAGAGTTAGAAGGGAGAATCTTCTAGACTGATGGAGGTTATACTCAAGGTGGAAGAGCCTATGGAGCTTGGATATGACCTGGAATTGCTGGAAGATTTAAACCACATCTTTTGGCCTCCAGTCTGGGTAGCTTGTGAGGGGCCTGAGACACAGCCCTGATAGAGACACAGCCCTGCAGTCACCCAGGACTGAAGAGAAGAAAGGCCTGGCCAGGGATGGACGTGCTCTGCGAGTAAAAAGAGGTTAGGTGGCTTCTCAGAACTGGATGTCATCTGGGCGTGCACTTGTGTCCTACTGGTTTGGTCGGTCTTGCTTCATCTGTTCTGAGTGTGTCTGAGTATGTGCCTCTGCCGCAGGCTGTGAATGGACCAAATGTCAAAGCATAGACAATGTTAGCACACAGGCAGGTTTTCAAATTACCTGTGTGATATTCTTTACTGTTCTTCTGTGAAAGCCTGGCCCTGGATCCTACCGAATTGCAGCCTGACATTTTAAAACAGTG